TCCAGACCTGGTGCTCATCCAGGAAAATGTTCCAGAATCTCAGTTCAGCCAGAACTTCTCAGCCTGGAAAGTCAAGCAGGAACCGCCCAACTCTGTGGGGAGCAGCCTGCCCTCCCTAGGGCCCTCGGCAGGAGCACTGTTATGGTCTCCTGGCATTCGTCGGGCCCGAGGGGCTACCTGTGCAGCTGCAATGCTGGCCTTGGGGCACAGATGGTCCCCCCAGGGAGAGCCCCAATGCTGTGCTATCCCCCTTCAAGGCCACAGGTGTGGAGCCCAGGCCGGGAGGGACCGGGCACTGCTCAGGTCCCTTGGCCATGATGTCAGTGCTGCCCTACCTGTCTTTCTCCTTCATCCACTGGACAGCAATGCCAAGGCCCTGCTAGGCCACTCAGCAGGCCACAGCTGCACACTACTATATGAGCCTGGGCAGGCTCCTGGCCATTACAGGCCTCCGTCTCCTTACCCGGAAGTCGGGACAAGAGTTCCTCCCACTGACGGGGGTCAGTGGGGGCGGGGGGAGTTTGCTCTGATCCTGGTCCCCTGGGTTGACAGGAGCTGGGACATGGGGCAACAATTTTGCACTTCAGAGCTGGCCACTGCACACCTGTCTTCCCATTCTACTGGACCCCGAGATCGCCCTGGACTCCCCTAGTGGCTCCCAGTCCTGAGGGGCAGCCTGCAGCTCTGTGCTGCAGCTCTACATTTTAGGGCTCAAGGACATTGAGATGCCTTCAGCACACAGGAGCCAGTCATGTTTCCCGAGGAGACGGGATGTACTCGCCTTCTGAGGGGTGGTGACCAAACGCCACCAGTCCCAGCCTCGGGACCTGAGAATGAGGCTGTGTTTGGATGGAGCCAAGCCTTTACTGAGGTAGTGCAGTTATGATGAGGCCACCCAGGGCAGCCCTGGGGACAGGGAGAAGACGGCACCCAGGAGCCTCCAACCAGAGAGGCCTCAGGGAGGCGTGTGTGCCACACCCCAGTCCTGTGGAAGCCTGAGCCCTGCACTTGGCTACGCAGCCCTAACAGCACATTTAACACAAACAAATTAAGAAATCACCTGTCCCTGGGGCCCGCCCTCCACATCCTCAATAGCCAGCAAGGAACGGAGCCTTCTGGGAACCAGGTGCTGTGCAGGGCCCGGACGGAGCGTGGCCAGGACGGGAAAGGCTCCGCCGGGCCAGGGCTTTGGGCAGAGATCATAGGCATCCTTATCCTTTTCCTTATCCTGGGATCCGTCTCCCTGTGCAGAAGCAGGCAAGGGCAACAGGAGCCCCAAGGACCTTAGGTGACGGCTGAGCAGGGTGGCCTGGAGGAGAGGGGCAGAGGCCTTGGAAGGGGGCTGTGTGGACAGAATTTCACAGACAGCTCCAAAGTGCGCTCTCCAGCCTGAGTCAGGGTGCTCCCAGAGGCAATGGTCCCTGACGGAAACTGGGGCCCAGATTGGTGTGCAGGCAGGAGCATCGGCCAATGGAGCCAGCAAAAGCAGTGGCACAGACAGGGGTCCCTTGCTCCTGGCACAACGCCATCCCCACAGCTCAGCAGGGGCTCAGGGTGACAGGCAGGATGCCAGGTCATGCCCCCGAGGAGGATCAGCACAAATGAATCTTGCAGTTGCACGGGACAAGTTTGCAGCCTGTGCCTGTGTACACACCAGAGGGGGCGTGTGACAAGGTGTAATAGTGCCACATGAAGAAATTCACCCTGGGAGGCAGGCGGAGGGAAGGACCAGAAGCCACTCATCCAGCTGTTGCAGGCAGTTCCTGTGAGCATCGTGGTGGCCTGGTGTGTTCCCCTGTGGGAGCTTCAAATCCAGAAGCTGCTTTGTACAGAGTCAGAGGATATTGTCCCTGGCACGGCCTGCCGGGCTCTCCTAACCCTGCCTCGAGCTCCAAGGCCAGGACAGAGCAGCGTCCTGGCTCCCGAGCCACCTCCAGGCACTGGCTCACTGAGGAAGCAGCTCCTTGACCCTGGGGAGGGGGCTGAGAGTCTCCTTCCCCAACCTCTCAGGAATTGAGTGGGCTCTGCTATGCTGCAAATGTTCAAGCTGAACCCGTGACGGTTAGAAACAGCTTGTGTGTCTACATCACTAACCCCAGAGAGTGAAGTTCCTGCTTCACTCTCTGGGGTGTGCATATGTGTGTCTGGGTGGGAGAGGCTGGCGGGGCCTTCCTACAGGGCTAGAAGAGGCCTTACCAGAACTGGACCTGGTCCCAGTGGCCTATCTTCCTAGGCAGCTGGGACTCCAGTCCTGATGTACACAGACCCAGGGGGATGTGTGCTAGTGAGAACAGCATTCGAGCCCTTGGTCCTATGGCTTGGACTGCAGGGCACAAAGCCTGGCCAAGGCAGCACCTCTCACGGTGTCGGGCAGGGGCTCCTCCACAGGCTCTGTGCTGGGTGCCAGGGGCTTGTGGCCTTGGACGGCTGTGAGAGGAGCAGAGAGGCCAGGAATGAAGCTGCACAGCCTCAGATACAGGGTCCCCTTGGCTGCCACACTGTCCTTGGTTACCCCAGGCCCCAGAGTTGCAGTCGGCTACCTGGTCTTAACACAGCTGTGCTCAGCTGCCCAAGGCTGGACGCTGGCCAGGGATGCTCTAGATCGGGTCTGGCTTTGTTGCTCCTTCCCTCTGTGTCCTGGGGGTCATTCTGGTGTCTGCAGCTGGCTGCTGGACCTGTGGCCGCATCCCTATAGGGTAGGTCTTAGTGTGTTGCTGGGGTCCCGGTGTTACTGCCGTAAAAATCCCATTTGTAATGTTTGCCTCTGTGGAGTCTGTGTTTAAAATAAACCAGGTGATGATAGAATCACACTTGCTATTGTTTCCCTATGATGTGTTCATTAAAATACCCAGCACTGGCGCACACTTGTAGTGTCAGCACTTGGGAGGCTGAGGCAGGAGGATCCCTGAGAGTTTGAGGCCAGCCTGGGCTACAAAGCATGATCCTGTCGCACAAAGCCAAGACATAAAAACAAACCCAGCGGGCTGGGGATTTAGCTCAGCGGCATAAGCGCCTGCCTTGCAAGCGCACAGTCGTGAGTTCAAGTCCTGGAACCAATAAAAAAAAAAAAAAAAAAAACCTAGCACCTTTTCACTCGCCACCCACATCTACACACCTGCTTTCCAGCACGATAACCTTGCGTGTGGTGGATGTTTACTCCTGGTGGCACCCTAGGGGTGGAGGCTTTTCCATGCCTGAACTACCCAGGCCCTGGCCCTCTCTGGGTATATCCTTGGGGACCAGCAGACTGAGCTGGGGTGCTTCTCTTTTTTTTTTTTTTTTTTTTTGTCTTTTTCATTTTTATCGGTACCAGGGATTGAACTCACGACCACCTGCTTGCAAGGCAGGTGCTTATGCTGCTGAGCTAAATCCCCAGCCCCTGGGTCCTTCTCTTTTACAAAAAAGAAACTAAGACCCCCAAAAGGGAATGTCCTGTCCCAAGGTTGCAGGCTGACACTGGGCTTGGCCTTCAGTTTCCCTGAGGTCCCAGTCCAGTTTCTCTGAGAGGTGCCCCTGTGGCCACTACCTATCCCCTCTATTACATGTCCAATGCCTGGACCTCGCCCCTGGGCCTTAGGAGAGGCTGAGGCTTATTGGGAAAGTCTTCCAACAAAGGTAGGTTACAACTGGAAAGGCCCCTTAACCTTGGAAGCAGGCAGTGGGCACTCTTCCTGGTCAGTTTACTGATCTATGAAATGGGGTAACAGGAAATGCATCCTGAGGGTTGGAGCCAGTACCTTGGGGGCCTGGCAGGAGTGCACAGTCGGGACTCATGCCACTTTCCTCTGCTTCCTGGCTGAATGAATAATATGGCAAGACAGTGCTTTCCCCTGCCCCCCATTTTTAATTTAGGAGGCTGGAGAGTGCCAGGCCAGCCAGGCCCGGGCTCTGCTGTGGCTGGTGATGGCTGAAGCACAGACCTCATGTCTCAGTTTCCCTAAATGCACATAGGTGCCACTTTCCAGTCTCAGAGCCAGTGCCCCACAGCCCCAGGCAGCTCCTGGCTGCCCCTCCAGTGTTTCCTCAGATGTCTGTGTTTGCTCAGATGTTTATGGGCTCCCTGACAGCCCCTAATCAAAGTGAGGTTAGATTATCTCCCGGAGATTCGCACCACCCAGACCGAGCCCTGGCCGAGGTCCACACAGGCAGGTGCATTCTTACTAGTTTTAAAAAGTGAGTGTTCAGTGTGTACTTAGACACAGCTGACCACCCCTCCCTGCCCGCCCCTCTCAGGTTACCCGCTCCAGAGTTTCCTGGACAGCCGCTGACACGTGGACCATGGGTTTGCTGCTCTTTTGAACTTAACAGTCCCAGAGATCACGCTGCACCCGTGTACGTGTACACAGAATCAGCACGTAAACACGTCTGGAAAATCATTAAATGAAGGCGCTGGAGTTTACTGGGTCGCTTTCAAGTCCTCTGTAATCACAGGGAGCCCCCAGCCAGCTCTCCCGCGCCCCAGCATCTGTCTGCGGGCTGAAGCCAGCGCTGCTTGGTTCCGGGAGTCCGGGCTGCTGAGCCAGGAACGCGCTTCTGCTCCACTCCAGACATTTTCTGAGCCATTGGAGGAGGCTCAGCAGCCAGCTCCTGGCTGCGGCTTCCAGCAGCTCCCCAACGAACCACCCGGCTCAGGACGTCCGGCTGGGACCCAAGGAGCCCGTGCAGGAAAGGGATGGGGCGGTCCACCCTGGACCTACCCCGGGGGTCCCTGCCTGCTTCAGGGTCGGGGCACACGGTGGCTGCTGCCCCTGGCTCGGGTCTCCAGCTAGGCGTGGACGACGACCAAGTGCGACCCTTTGTGGCCCGCGGGGCGGCTGCGGACAGGTCAAAGGGCACGCGTGGCGACACCGGGCGGGGGGTGGAGGCGGAGCCTGCGACGCCCCATCCGCTCTCTCCCGCCCCGGCCGCCCCTCCCCCACCCGCGTGTCCCCGTCCCCCTCCGCCCCGCGTGTCCCGCATCCCCCTCCGTCCCGCGTGTCCCCGTCCCCGCGCCGGCGGAACTCGGGGCCGCGCACAGGAAGTGGCGAGGCGGCGGGCGGGGCGGGCGCGGCGCCCACTGGAGCCCAGCGCAGGGCCGGGCGGGGACGGCGCGGGACGGGACCGGGCGACGGCGGGGCGCAGGTGAGCCGCGCGGGGCCTGTGCGCCCGGGGTGGGGGTCGGGCCCTGTGGCCCCGAGGTTGCCCGGCGTCCGCGCCGGGCGGTGCCCAGGCCGCGCTGCAGTGGGTCCGGGAGGGACCCCGCCGCCGCCTCACTGTCCGGTCTCGCGGCAGCCGCCGCAGGCTCCGCACGGTTCCCCGGGTGTGCTGGGCCCGGCGGGTGACCGGGGCGGGCGCCGGCAGCCGGGGCAGGGGCGACCCGGGAGCCCTCCCGCAGCCTCGGCGCGGCCTCTCCAGGCTCCAGGGCCTGCGAGGCACCCCGCTGTACGTGGAGGCAGTGGGGCCGGGGCAGCAGCCTGGCGGGCGGAGCACGGGCCCTGGGCAGTTCCACTTTCTGCTTGCTCAGCCCCAGGGCGGCAGGGAGGCTCGGAGGGAAGGCTGGCTGCAGGTGGCACTGCCCCAGCTGCCGACGGTGCCCGGTGCTCGGGTGTGACTTTGGCGTGCAGACCAGTGTCTGCGAGAACGGCCACCCTTGGGTCAGGTGACAGCTGACCAGTAACCAGACACCTCCCCGCCAGCCAGGGGACCCTGGGCAGCACATCCTGGGCACTTAGGAGAGGCTTAATTACCATTAAGCCCGGGTTAAAAAAATGTGCCGATGACATCTTGTGAACTTCGGGGAAAGTCTCGAGGAATAAAGAAAATGGTTTCACAAATGGCTTCTGAGACTTGGATGCGCTGTGCTGAGAGCTAAAGGTGGCCTCTGCCCGAAGCTAAGATCCAGGCAAAGGCTGAGTGTGGCCTGTGGCTGGAAGAGGAACTGGAGAGAGGTCAAGCCGGCTACTGATCGGACATCCCAGCCACGAGCTTCATGAGGGTCTCTGTGGGTTCTAAACTCTGGCGTTTGACCCCTGCCCACTCCCCTCCTCCCTGTTGTGGATAATCCCGGCCCTGTCCGCTGCCCCATGGTGTGGGGCTGGCCTGTGACTGCCCAACCTAGTGTCTTCAATGATATGCTGTCTTGGGGAGCAGCTGCCATCCAGCCCATCTGTGCTGGCCCCTGGCTCATCTGCACTGGGAGGGCCGGGCTGGGCAGGGCAGGGCAGAGGCTGGTTACAGTCAGGTGGCATGGGGACACAATGGGGGTGGTGGAGGGTGCTGTCTGCCTCCAGGGGACCTGGCCCTAGCCCAGCGGCTACCCTGTCCAGTGTGAAGCCAGTGGAAGATGGGTTTATACTGAAGGCAAGAAAGGCTGCCCTGGAACAGGGCTGCTGGGTGATGGATGTCCGCTGTGGGTGTCTGTCCTGGGTGGCACCGTCCTGCTCTCTACTTGGGCTTTGTCAGACACTGCTCCGCAGAAACTGAGAGGTCCAGTTACCTGTCCGGGGTGATGTCACACCTTGGCACAACTGGATGTAAGCTGAGATCCTGGGGACTCCCACTGTGAAAAGCTCTGAACTTTATCCCTGATTGAAGTAGAGGTGGTATCAGAATCTTTTTATAAACAGGGAAAAGGGGAAACCAAAGACCAAGTACTGTGGTTTGTTTGGTTTGGTTTTGCTCAGCAGACAGGGTGGTGTTAATTAGTCCAATCCTGTTTACAAGCCGGCTAACTAGTCCGGTCCTGTTTCCCCTGACAGGTTACTGCTAGTTATCGGCTCAGCTCATTTGCCCTACACGTGGTAGCTTGTCCACTTGCCCTGTCACTGACCAGTGGCCTTAGTTAGGTCCTGCAGCCTTTAGCATGGCCAGCGTCGGCCCTGTCCCCAGCCCAAGACACCTCTTGCCAAGCGGTGGCCCCCTGCACACACCTGACCCTCTCCGGCCTCATGGAAACTCCTGTGATTTCCTGGACTGTTACAGAGCAGGTGTGGACCAGGCCAGGCCATGTTCGATGGCTCCCTGCATGCTGACTGCTCCCTTTGTACAGGGCTTTTTGTGAGACTGAGCTGATTCCGTGACCAGTGCAGAGAAACTCCGTGGGGTTTTACTCTTGTTTAACCAAAGCATGCAGAGTGGTAAATGAGCCGTGACAAACTGTGGGCAGGGGGACCAGGACCACCCGTCATTCCTCAGACCACCTCCTCGGAACCTTGTATCAGTTCTGAGTTGTCTCAAAACGCCGCGCCCTGGGTAAAGGCAGGGAGGTTTATCTTCCCACTGCTGGTTGTTTAGAAGACCCTGCCATGTGCTGATTATCGCTGTCAAACCCGTGCACATCTGCACGCGTCCAGGTGTAGGGTGGGACAGAGATGGAGGCCACTCATCCTGCAGAGCTGGACCTGAGGCTGGCTGTGAGCACCGACCCCACTGCCTGGTCATCCCCGAGGGAGACAGGGCTTAGGTGGCAATGGCAGTGAGGTGGGAGCCTTCGAGAACCCTCCAGACATGACTGCGGGCCCCCTCCTGGCCGGGGTGCTCTGTGGCATGTGGCACTCAATACTGAGGCTGGGTGCTTCTGGGGTGTGTCATGAATACCGACCACCTAGGTCTCTTTCTTTCTTTTCTTTTTTCCATTTCCTTTTTTGTTTGTTTGTATGCTTTTTTGTTTTGCTTTGTTTTTGTTTTTTGCGACAGGATCTTACCATGTAGTTCAAACTGGCCTTGAACACAGTGATCTTCCTGCCTCAGCCTCCCAAGCTGGATCCCTTTTTGAAAGTTGATGCAGAAGGAAACCTGTATTAAACGACAGCAGCCAGTTTGATGTTGCCATGATTGCCACTGCAGCAGTGCTTTTGCCCGGCTGTGTGCCCAGGTGCCATCTCCCTGCTCTGACTGGTGGCAGAGTGCTGTGCTGGGGACCACGCAGGAGGCTTGGGCTTGGGTGGGCCTGGGATTCTGCGCAGGTCGCCCCTCGGTGCACTTCTGCTCTTCCTTGAGCCCTTTTGCTGACCTGAACATTTTCTAAGCCTGCGCTGACCTTAGGCTGGCCCTGCTTTATAAGCTGGCTTTGCTTATTGTGTTGTAAGGACGACTAGGAGAGTTGTCGCTGTGGCGTTTCCTGTGTCATTACTTTAGATTTCAAAGCAGTCTGAGGTCCCACTCTGCGGGGGGAGAAAGGGAGGCTCAGCGGGCCCCCAGCATGGCAGATCTTTTGGGGGTGATAGGGATTGGGGATTGAGCACAGACCTGTTTTACCTTTTTGAGGTTGAGTCCCCCTAAGTCAGTAAGTTGGGCTTGAGCTTTCCATCCTCCAGACTCCCTGGGCCACCAGCCAGCCCTGGCACAGCTGGCGCCCCCGGACTTGAGGGTCGGGGAGCGCAGGAGGGTAGGTGTGTGCTGCTGTTGCATCCCTTCGCATCCCCCTGCAGTCCCCCACCCCGCGACGCACGTGCTGACGCATTTCCCGCGGACTGATTGCTGGGCCTCACCTAATTGATTTGTTGAGTGGTAAACATTCTTTTTTTTTTACATTATTTTTTATCGGTACTAGGGATCCAACTCACAACCATGTGCTTGCAAGGCAGGCCCTTATGCCGCTGAGCTAAATCTTCAGCCCAACATTCTTTTTACACAGACACCAAGGAGTCGTGTACCTGTGGGGGTGCAGCATTACAGGCCCTATGTCTTCCCAGAATGCAGCAGGAGGCAGATGGTGGAGTGCAGGCTGCCCTAGTTTGGGGGATGTGGGAAGCAGGGGAAGGTCAAAGTGCAAAGGTTAACAGGAGGCTGCACTGGGGGGGGGGGCGGGAGGCAGGAGCAGGTGTGAGGGAGGCCTGAGGGCAGACCTGGGACTCCCAGTCCCTGCCAGGGGGGCAGGGTCTCAGCTGCAGCTCCCAGTGCAGCTCAGCAGGGCACTGGGGCCAGCATCGCCCTGGGGGAGGGGCTGTGTGTCCCTGAGGACCTGCCTGGAACAAGAGCCCCAGCTGCCCCACGGACCACAGCCTGCTGTCCCCTGCAGGGTCCCTGGGTGCCACTGGGAGGCTGCTATGTGACCTCCTGCTCACCAGTCTCTTTGTAACGGCCTCCCGGCAGGGACTCCAGTGCCAAGCCCACGGCTGCCCCGGAGCTCCAGTGTGGACAGCCCTTGCCATTCACTGTCGGCCACCATCACACATTTGGGTTTTACTCATGGGCATGTGACCTTGGACTCTCCAGGAGTGAAAAGGAGTTAGTGGTGCTGTACATGAAATATGGAACATCAGTAAGGAATGTAAGGAACGTAATGTGCTCTTTATCTTTTTTGATTTTTTTGGAGACAAGGTCTCGATATGTGGTCCAGGCTGGCTTCAGACTCACCTTGTGGCCCAGGCTGGCCTTGACCTCGCAGTGATCCTCCTGCCTCAGCCTCTGGAGTGCTGGGATTGAAAGCATGTAACACTGCGCCTAGCAAGATGCTCAGAAGATGTTACTGTAACATTAAAGAGAGGGGAAGCGGCCCATAGGTTGGGCAGCTGTAGTTTTAGAGATGCCTGGGCTGTGGAGGCCCTGGGCCCCAGGCCATCCCCAGGCACAGCTGGCACCCAGAGGGCCAAGGGTACAGGCAGCACTGGCACCCAGGGCCGGGCCCCAGTGGGCGGGGCTGCTCTCCGGAAGCTAGGCCGGCAGGGGTCCACCGCAGGGACCCCAGGTGGCTGGCCCTCCCTTTTGTTCTCTAAAGGTCACCCGTTTCTTGCTCCTAAAGTGTTCTTTTTGGTCACCGAAGTCTTAAGTGGAGCTGCTAGGTGGAGGGGAGCAGGGCTGGGCCAGGAAAGCAGGTGACAACATGGTTGCTGCCGCTGGGGCCGGCAACGTGGGTAGCAGGGCCTCTTCCCAGGGCTGGCTCACCTGGCCCACCACCCAGTGCCTCCACTGGCACAGCAGGGTCGCATGGGGCCAGCCCTGCAGTGTGCATGTTCTTCCCATGGAAGCCGGAGAACCTACTAAATGCCGTTGCCCCTGACCTCTGCCCCGGGGCACCATGTCCTGGTTCTGGAGTGTAGTGTTTAATTCTTGAATAAAGTGACGGAGCTGACTAAAGACACAGTGGGCACCTCCAAAGGGAATGGGAGAGAAATGAAAAGTTGCCTGGTGGTGCACGCCTG